AACCTTTTACAAGGAATCATGTCGGCATTAAACACAATACTTGTGGTCAAAATGCAAACAAAAAACATACTCTAGAGCAGGCATGTCCAAAGTCCGGCCCGCGGGGCAATTACGGCCCGCGGTCAGATTTCATACGGCCCGCAGTTTCGGTCTTATAAATCATAAAACTTTAAAGATGTAATTCCTCCTTTCACCACACAGTGGCAGGACCATTATAATTCTATCTGGCTCTGCATCCGTGCCGCAAACCCTTCTCGAGTCATTTCTGCCATGGCGACTGCAAAAAAATAATTGCGGTCATTCGCTAAGAAAATGCTGAGCTTATTCGGCTCCACATATTTGTGTGAGGAAACATTCTCAGTCATGAACTTAAACAAGAACCGATTGAGGTCAAGGATGAGTGACTCCCACTTGCATGGCATTTTACGCATCTCAACCACTGCCCTCAAGCCAGACCTGGTCTCTTTACTGAAATCTAGATCTCAGTATCACCCTTCTCATTAGTGTCAGCAAGTTATATGTTCCTTGATCAATCTGAAATTGAGTGTTTTGAACGGTAACATCTGTCACTATTAACAGTGAAAAGCCTAAAGCACACTAATGCACTTGGACTTATGGCACTTGTTTTATTAAACTCTTGAATAAGATTTGGTTATAACTGTTGATGTTATGTACCTGTAGATGTGACACAAACTATTGCTTTCTGAAAGATCTTGTAAAAGACAAGGGCAAAATTCACTTGTTTTAAAGTTGAATGATAACAGACCACTTTGCATTACTTATAACTCCTGTTTAAAATGTTCATGAGGCAAAGATATTTAACTCATGGAAATTTAAGGTATTCTATACAGTTTGTTCAATGTTATCTGACGGAATGAAAGGCAAAATTGTGTTTTTAGAGTTGTTCACGTCTGCCTGAGTGGCTTATATTTGCTTACATTGTCATTTGAAAAATAATGGTAATTGTGACAATGATTTTTTTTATAACAGTGTGTATTTTCACGTAATTTTTGTGGTTAAAAAAATGTCAAAAGGAACTATTGGCCCCCGGGCATCTTCACTTTATCAAATGTGGCCCTCTTTAAAAAAAGGTTTGGACACCCCTGCTCTACAGGTTGCCAGGTGCGTTTGATAATATAAACAGAGTATGTTTTTGGTTTGCATTTTGACCACAAGTGTTGTGGTTAATGCAGATATGATTCCTTGTAAAAGTTTTCAGTTTGGTGTTTTAACAACTTAACACCTGTTTTGTTGCCAGATAAAAGGGTAAAAACTTATTCTCGTATTTTGGTACTGGCAAAGGAGGTCCCATGATGTAAAAACTCCTATAATTTTTCATTCATGGAGGGGTTGCCCCCTCTACCTGAAAATCCTGGCTCCGCCATTGAGTTTGGGGATTGTAGAGTTGCCGATTGCGGCTATTTTCAAAAACGATGGGCAAGGATTTACTATGTGTTTTGATGCTGAAAAAATACTTTCTACACAATTAAATCCCTGAACCCCTTATTTTATCTTATACAGATGTTTTGCTAAATTATTGAGTGTATTCCGCAATCTAAATCAAGCTTATTTTTTTTATTGCCTCTCAACAGAACGTTGTTCTGCCGAAACATTTACCTAGTTATGTGAAGTTGATTCTTAAACACCATTGCATAAAAGAAACACCCACGATATTAAACTGGAACAATAACACTTGAGGTGTTGATGCAATTGTTCATTAGCCTATGAGCCCTTGAGTCTCATTGCAGATTGGTTCACTCAGGCCGTTCAAAAGTGTTAGCAAGCAAATTTTATGACCTGAGTTTCGTAATTTTAGGTAATAAAGTGGCGCTCAGTGGCCATGAAGATTGAAGGTATACGCTTTAGTGACGATGTTTCCCCAGCAGTTACCGCAGCAAAATGAAGCTTTTTGCAGCGCCACGTTAATGTTTTACGGTTATAACACATGCCCTCACAGGGTCATACATCGCCCCCTGACATTAACGTACCACAGCTTTGTCTGTAAAGTATATCACCTTCATAATTACCTTGCACTATAACTGGGCAAAAGCCAAATATACTAAACTAGCTTTACTACCCGGCTTCGCCCAGGACGTGGATTCTTGTCTTGGATGAATACACGGCGTACGCGAAGGGTGGGGGGGGACGTCAGCAGGCACACTGCGTTACGCTTCCGCACACGAGTCACATGACAGATGTGACGTCACAGCTCACTTGCCGTGCAAAATACTGTACTGTATATGCATAATTGCGCCCCCCCCCCCCAAAATAGAAAAATGTATTATTTTAATGTTTACATGGTGTACAGTCTGGAAAGTAACCACATGGCAAATTTCAAGTTTGTTGCATGTCGGGAAGTACGCTAAACATTTTGAACAGACACATTCACAAATTTCCCATTTATATATATATTATTAATTATTATTATTACGATTGCCTGAGCATCCACTGTAAAATTAATAGCCTAATTTTTCAATGTTTCACAGACCAAGGGAATGCAAAAGATTGGTGCTGGATACAGCAGCCACATGTGCAAATTTGATTTGTAACTTCAATCCGTAACCATTTACAGATATTTAAATGTTACTGTGCAATTTAATTGAGGGACTGCGTGTTGTCTTGGCGTGGTCTTGGACTCTTGTCATGGTGTGGTGAAAATTCGGCAGGACTACGTGCACTTGTGCACTTTGTACATATATACTTTATATTTATTGAAAGTGACCTGCTTACCTTGTTTCTACTTTTCACTCTTGTCATATCCGTGTACAGCACTGTGCACTACATGAAGAAAAATCTCACTACCTCCTCACCCGCGATGGGCCGCTTTGGAGATTATATGGAGGCAAGGCGGCACAGCGTACGTTCTTCTGAGGCAGCAATCACCGGAAGCAGTGCAGTTGCGATTGGCGAACTGTACCTGAATAAACGTGGCACGAATGGTCAAAGGAACCTTATGGCGGGGCCCCGGGGTCCCATAAGCCCCCGGCTCTCGCATAAACTGCGTTGCGACGTCATTTTATGTCTGTTGAAGGCGAACGATACGGCGACCTGTTCTTCTTGACGAGCTCTACGCGATGCGCCAATCAAAGTTTTGTTTCTTCTGCGCTTATTTCCTCGCTGCTGTGCTTGGACACGACAAAAGCACGATCCACGCCAGGTGGGTCGCAGCGTTGATGTGCGCGGTGGGACGGAGTCGCCCAAAATAAATTCATTAATTACGATTTTGACTTGCGTTGATTCGGGACCCCGGGGTCCCACCATAAGGTTTAAATCTGCAATGAGAAAACCAACGATGGGCAAGGTGTTAAAACCCACGATGGGCAAGGTGTTTGTGTATTTGCAGAATGTCAGAAACCTACAAAAACCACAAATGCTACCCCCTCCTCCTCCCACCATGTAGTCTGACTTCAAGGTGTTACACTGTATTTGTGGCTTACAATGGAACATACTTTGACGTTTAACTGTGGGTGTGCATTCCTCAGTCACCGTTTTAGTGCACATTGCATTACTTTACAGCGCGTCGTGCGAATGGATGTGAGCGCGATGACGATCGAGGTCTGCTCAAACTGTTTGCTCAAGATCCACATTTGTAAGCTCAGGGTGTGAAGCCGTACAGGGACAATGACTCGCCTTGTGGTCGCTGACGAGTGGGGCTGAGAGAGCAGGGCAGAGGGGACCGGCTTTCTGTGGGACATGCCCATCAGTGCGTGGACGTCTCTGTGGAGAGGACTGTCTCCATCTTTCGTGGTTCTTCATGATTCAACTGTGCCAGGTGCTTCTCACTCACAATCAAATCCACTGGGTGTTTTGTTTTATAATGCAGAAATGTTAAGGTGTGTGTGACTGCAGTATTCTATAATGATGAGGTAGGGTCCATTCCACATGCCACTCGGTTACTGAATCTGTCCGTAACAATACATTAACAGGTTTATGTTCAGTGTACTGCTACAAAAGCAGCATCTTACAATAAGTTTGAATGCAGTGATGTTTCACTGTCTCATATACAAAAAAAAAACAACTTACAGTTGCTTCTACACGACTACAAGGAGAGAGAAATATAAAGTGATGAGCTAAAGTAATGATGCGCATCATGATAATTTCGTTTATAAACTATTATTTAATATTTAAATATTTATTTTTATTGGCTTTGTTTATTGTAACCATATTTTTGGTTTATGATAATGTTAATATATTTCATACGTTATTTATATATTAATTTAAGGTAATTCATGAAAACAACTTTTTGTAGGTCAATATCATCCGTGAAATGTGCTATTCACGAGCATCTTCAGATCATATCCTTCGCAAATAACGAGGGAATCATGTATACAGTACAAATGTCTAAAAAGCACAAAATACATTATGGTTAGACATTTCAGATTCAGTATTAACCCTTACATTTGTACTGAAACAATTTTAAATCAACGATGTAACACATGTTTATAGAGCACTAACAACGTAACATGCTTTCTATCCATTAAATTTGCAATGTATCTCAAATTATATATAAGATTAAGCCTACGAGGGCGCATGTTTACACTACTGAACACACTGAAAGGTAGGACTGGTACTGCACTACTGGCACTGTGGTACTGCAATGCTGGCACTGTAGTACCGTACTGAGTATTTTGTTCCGGCAGGATCTTTATCTCTCACTCACTTTATACTTAGGTAAATGACTGTCACACATAATATTTATAGAATATACTATATAAACACAACACATCTGAAAATGAACATGTAAAACAGTGCACTTAAATAAAAGCAATAATAGAACTGTAGGCTGGAACGGCACCCCCACACCTTCACCGTCATTCCTTACAGGAAAATCACTCCGACTTAACGCGAATTCACTTTACATTGCAATTCTCAGGAACGCAACCCCGCGGTTAGCGGGGACTCACTGTGCAAGTCCTTGAAGCAATCACCTTGACCAGCAGCCACTCACTCGGCTATAAATGAGGGTGAAGTGAACAGACACCACACGCAGTAAAGCTACTCAGAAAATGACAAAAGCCAGAGAGAAACTGGAGGAATGGTTGTCAGCACCAGATACGTTCCTTCTAATTATTCATTATTGCCTTAGATAATAAACAGTCTTTTTTAATATGTATATTGCTCTTTCCTGTAAACAGTTCATAAAAAAACCCATCAAATATACATTTTAAAAATATATACTTTTTTTGTTATTTATCAATTATGTGTTCAATATATAGATGTTTTATTTCAATATTCCATCTCTAGTCTGAGTTTGGGGTTTCCTGTTCCAGACCAAATATGACCTTTGGACAGATGTCCGAGCAAGTAGAGTGAGAAACACAGCTCTTAAATCGTCAGATCCCGGATCCCTGGTTTACGCCCAGGATGCGTGACTGAAAAGCAGCACGTAAATCGAAAGTACTTACAGAAAATCGCTGCTCTCTAAAAGTACTTGCCCAAGAAGTCTATAATGGCTACACGGGAGATCATTGTCGTTGTGTGTGTGTGCGTACACACGCGCGAGTGCGAGTCTCATTACGCCCCTTCCAACAAGCCAGCCAGCATCAGGACTCAAGGTCAGTGAAAATGAAACAAAATGTTATTCTATTTATGTTATTTTATGTTTTATTTGCTATACAGTATGTATTACTGTATTACATGCTAATGTACAATATTTCTTGTTATTTACGAGTTTAACAATACTTCTCGTTTTTGTTGAACCTTAAACACATTTCATCACACTGACAGTATGTGCATTTAAATAGTGCATTATTGTGTTCCGACTTACAAACGGGTCTCAGGAATGTAACCCGTTCGTAAGTCGAACACTACCTTACACATAAATACCGGACAACTAAATAAAAAATACATTTTTGCTTTTCAAATGTTCTCACCTTCAGCACTGGGCTAGCTTCGCTTGCTGGGTAGGAGGTGGCGAGTTGGAGGCACACAAAAACATTCACACTCACTCATCGATCTCCACACACTCGCAGGAGCGTGAGCGTGCGTTTCGCCTCACCGGCAGCGCCGAATAACATTTAACTTCTACGGTATCTAGCACTTTCATGCTGCCTCTTAGCCACATATACATCATTGTCACTTAAAACACGCCCAAGAGGCGTGATGCTCAAGGATCACGTACCCACAACCTTTACATAAAATTACAAAAAATATGGGTTGCAACATTAATGTATGGCAGTAAACTTTGACAACAACAAATACACGGTACAATAAGATACATTACACTATAAAATCACCAAAGTACTGTACATAAATAATATTTCGTTATGTGTCACAAAATAGTTCATGTACAGGGTAGGTGGAGGCGAAAGCCGAGGTGATGGGTACGAGTAAGGAGGGATGATGCTGTTAGCAACAAAAGTGTGGGTTGAGGCAACACAAATCAGGTAACTGTATTAATAAACTGACGTCGTTTTTGCGAAACGACGTAAATGGGGATATGTAAATCGGGGTATTACTATATTTAGTGTATTTATTGCAGACGTCGCTATAGGTTGTGTTCTCTATTTAGTTTTCTTTTTTATTGGCTGTACTGTTATAAAAGTGCTTACCAACTTCTACAACATTTGTGCCAGTTTTTGCAGAGACGTGTTTATGGATTTTATGACATCACTGTAAATGTTGCATTCCATAATGAATGTCCAAAACGGTACAGCAACCCTTTGCCCATCGCGGCTGCGGTTACGATTTTGAAAATAGCCGCAGTCGGCAAATCCGCGATGATCCGCAAGTTCAAAAGCAAATGGGAAAACTGGGGTTTGGTTCAAGGTTCGTAACGCGACACCAACCCCTCCTTTTGTTTATGTTACCCTATGTCAACTCAAGCATTAAACAGGAAGTATTTTGAATATAAGACATGATTAATATGTTATACAGTGGTAAATGTATAGAATGAAAACATAGTTTACAATACTGTACACATGCCTGTACAGTACTGTACACAACATAAATACATATCGCAGGCAGCTGAACTTCACTGCCTCCTCACTGGAGGCTGGGAACACCGCATGACCTGGGACCCGCGATGGGCTGCGTGGGGGGACAAGCTCGAGACAAGACGGCTACGCGTCTTGGTCCGCGGCAGCATCATCGCGAGAAGTGCAGTTACAACGCGTACAGGAATCTCGCGTTCAACCGCAAATGGTCGAACCACAGGGGCGAGAGCGGTGAACTGTACCTCAATAAAGTTGCCGCAAACCTGCGATAGCTAAACCCGCGAGAGGGAAGGATTTGCTGCACGTAAACTAAACAGAATTTGTATGTGTCAGTGTTGGGCAGGAGGCTGGAGGAGCGCAATGGAGATGAGCGTGGCTTTGCTGGTGACGATCATCTTGATGACGCGAGCTGCCTGGGGCCATGGAGCGCCCATCTCAAGTGGCTGCTTAATAAGGGAAGACAAAGCCGACTGCTCACGCCTGGGCCTGCACTATATGCCTAAAGACCTCCCAGTCACCATAGCCTCTCTGGACATGTCCTATAACCAGATCTCTAGCATTCAGAGAGAGCACCTGTCTGCACTTTCACGGCTAAAAACTCTCAATGTGGCCTTCAACCAAATATCAAGTATTGACCCCTTGGCTTTCTCACATAACTCTGCGTTACAAGACATTGACCTGAGTAATAACAGATTACCAGGAGCATGGGATGACTCCTTTGCTGTTCTCAAGTTTGTAAGGTCTCTGGACGTCAGAAACAACTCCTACATTTCTTTCAATATTCCAGGTTCCTTCACATCTCTCAAGGCTCTGCATCATCTGAAGGTTGGGGGCCTGAATGTCACTGAAATTCACCAAAATGTCAGCGAGACAATGGAACTGGAACATCTCTCCATTGTGACTGGAGACCTGACCATCTACACTCCAGGCTCCCTGTCGGCATTCCGTAGCCTACAGAGTGTGACTCTGGCCTTGACCTTGCGCACAAATATTGCCCTGCTCACTGACATCATATGTGATGTCTCCTGTAACAGTGTGGAGCTACAGGTGCAGTTTGTTGATTTTCGTGGGTACAGACAAAATGTCGACATTTTCAAATGCATTTCAAACCCTGGCACAATTGAAGTTTTCAACATTTCGCATTCACAACTCACAGACAATACGATCACTGGCATGCTCAATAATATTATGAAGTCGCAAAGAATTATCTCTTTTAATCTGCAACAAATTGGGTTTGATGGTATTGGTGATTGGCAGGTGCCACTCTTACCAATTCCCGTCATATCTTTACAAAGTTTCTTGGTCGATGGGATAGCCAACCCAAACTTCTTTGGCTTTTCCACCATGAAAAACTTACATTTTTTTCTATTCTATCTGAAATATTTGACCATAAGAAATTCTAACCTTTTTTACATGCCTTGTCAGATTACTTTCCTCTGTCAAAACCTACATTTTCTCGATTTATCGAATAATTTACTCACGGAAAATACTGCATTTCCCCAGTGTGAATATATTCAGTTAAACAATCTCAACACACTCCGTCTGCATAAAAATTACATGTCTTCCTTGAGTGCGGTTGGTGCTATGGTGAAAAATCTAACTGCTCTCACGCTGTTGGATATATCTGCAAATCAGATTTACAGTGATCAAAAGTCTGGATGCATATGGCCCATTAATCTCCAAGTCCTCAATGCTTCCTCGAATTTTCTCACAGACGAGACATTTGACTGCCTGCCGACGTCACTTTATTCAATCGATGTCAGCAACAATAGGATCCAAAAAGTCAGCGAGAGATTGTTGGAATTCAAACATCTGCACGAACTGTACTTAAGTAAGAATAAACTCAACTTTTTTCCAGTAGAGCTAGCCCATGGTATCCCATCCCTGAAAGTTCTGACACTTGCCAACAATACACTACTGGGTATGAAACTAACTGACCTAGACAGTCTGGGTAATCTCACCCTGCTGGACATGAGGGGAAACCCATTCTATTGCACGTGCAACATCCTCCACTTTGTCACCTTCTGTGAGAATTCCTCACCATTGCGCATTGAAGGATGGCCAGCTGACTACCAATGCTCAAATCCAGAGAAAGAAGTTGGTAAACAGCTGTCCTCAGTCTCCTTCCCCATACTCTACTGTGACACAACACTGAAGATCGTGATAGCTTGTGTTACCACATTCGTGTGCACTGCTCTCCTGGTCGGGCTCTGCTGGTACCTGGATGCGCTTTGGTATCTGCGCATGACGTGGGTCTGGCTCCAAGCTAAACGGCGGAGTTTCCTCTCAGACCCAGACGGAAATGCAGCCTACGATGCGTTTGTGTCGTACAGCCAGCACGATGCAGTCTGGGTAATGGAGAAGCTTATGCCTGAGCTAGAGTCGCACTCAGTACCACCGTTCCGACTCTGCGTGCACGAGCGAGACTTTGTCCCCGGACGTTTTATCATGGACAACATCATTGACTGCATCGAGCAGAGCCGCAAGACTCTCTTTGTCATCTCACGGAGTTTCGTGGAGAGTGAGTGGTGCCACTACGAGCTGTACTTTGCGCAGCAGCGTCTAATGGAGAGCCGAGACGATGCTTTGGTGCTCGTGCTGTTGGAGCCCATCCCACGCGACTCAGTGCCCAGCCGCTTCTGCCGGCTGCGTCGCCTCATGGGGCGCAAGACCTACCTGGAGTGGCCTGCGGAGCAAGGCAAGCAGGTCCTCTTCTGGGCAAACCTGCGAGCCACGCTTGGCAAAGTTAAAAACTGACAACCGCGCCAAATTTGAGATGCTCAACCTACAACGGCAACCATTGTGAGGCCCATACATCCGTGTGATAGCTATGTGAAACACCATTGCAGGCATTCCTCAATTTACCAACTCCCGATTTACGAATTTTTACTTTCACGAAATTTGAATTTCGCGACATAAACAAGAGGCTTCTAGTTGGCCGCTCTGCATCAGTGTACTCCCGAGATCACCAGTTCTCCTCTTCCCAGTCTGTATAATGTTTGTTTGCGTGCGCTCCGTGGGTCCAAATCTATTGTGTTATTTGCCATTTACTTCAAGCAACCTTCAATATGAGTAGCAAGCATAAATCAACATCACCAGCTCTTACTCCAGAAAATAAATCTAGGCAAGCTATAAGCCTGGTAACAAAGCTGAACATTGTTCAAAGACACAAGAAATGAGAATGCTTGGTTGACATTGCACGTTCCCTCACCTTTATTATTGTAATCTTGCGATAGAATGCATCCTTAATTTTAACCTTTAAAATAATGTGGAGTTATTTCGATTTACGCACTGTTCTTCAGAAACGCATCCTGTTTGTAAATCGAGGAATGCCATTATATTATGATGATAGGAAATGTAACCTACAATGAAAATAACACCAGGGGACGTTAATTCGGATCTGGTTCTCGCCACTGGGCCCTGTTCCGCCACTGAAGCAGCAGTCACACTCCTGATTCACTCTTAATCCTTTGTCAGCTCATCAAGACCAATCTAGTTTCTTTCGGTTGTCATCCCTTGTGCTGATATTTTAGCCATGCCCAAGTCTCTTCAGGTAGACCCTCCTGCGTGTGTGTCTTTGGTTGAACATGTGTTTTTTTTTAGAGATTCCACATGTATACAGGAAGACCAGGATAGTCTCAGGCTCTACCTAAAATAAACCTCACCACAGACGTTTAGACTGAGGGCATCACTAAGACCCAGATTGGGAGCGCGGTAGCTCCAACCTCGTCTCCTACCACTACCTTGGAGGAGTACCGTATAATTTACTCATGAGTACAGTGCATCATAGTTACTGATGTTATTGTAATTAATTATTTTTATTTATCAAATAATGTTTACGATATGTATTATTATTCACGCTATTACCGATACCCCAATGAAGGCCTCATATTTCTTATATGACAATGGTATAACGGCCCCTTTTAGCGGTGATTCAATGAGCGCTCACTTCTCCAGGAACACGTCTTGAGCACTAAATGAGGTCTGCCTGTATTGACTTTGCCAGTTTGTTTCCTTCCTTAATACCTTAATACATGCCCTGCCCACTTCATCCTTATTTTCCTAATCAACCAATCTTATTTTTGAATCTTTCACGAGATGATCACTCCGAAGCAGTGCTTTACAGACATTGTTTATTAAAAAAAACTAAAGTAGTCAAATATAATTTAAAAATGTGTGTCTGTGCTTGATTAGTTGTTTGTCTGATTTTATTGTCTGTGTGATGATTTATTAGTCTTAATATTCATGGTTGTCATTCGTTTTCACACCAATCCAAGTGTTGCAGTGGCTGCTTTTAGGCAGTATGATTCACTACCATAAATTATTAATACCAAAATAAATTACGCATTCATTATTCTTCGTTTTAGGTCTAACTTCACATCACGTCGCTTGAAAGATGTATCCCATTTTTTTCACTGCACCTGTTATCTCACACTCCATCCCTTGAATCTATTTTGCTCCTAAAGTTTGTAAGCCGTTGGTGCATGTTCTAAGTCCTGTTTTCACTCCATGTTTGTCGGTCTGCTTCAAGTCTGCATAATTTTCGTCTTAGCTAAGTTAATCTTTACACCCCATTTTATACTCTGCTCACTTAACACTGACATTCGTTCGATGAGCTGCTGAGCGTCTCTGCAGGGAGTACTGCCTCATTCCGTATGCGAGGTATTGTTTGTTAATGTCGTTGATATAAAACATGATTTGAAGCTTTCGTGGCTGCAGTAATTACTCTTTGGTTATTTCAGTAAAGTCACGTAGAAAGAAAATAAATTAAATAAATACGCAATGCCGGGTACTTCCCGCTAGTTTCTCTCTCTCTACCTGATGACGACTGCTTGTGTTGCAATCGAAACGTCGTGTTTATTTAATTTATTTTCTTTCTACATGACTTTACCGAAAGAACCAAAGAGTCGTTGATATAGATGTGTTATCTTGTTTTTCTCTCCATCACTTTCGATACGTAATCCAGGACATTGTTTTTATGGAGCCCATTACAATACCAGTAGAAATAGGAGAGAGTACAGTAACCCTTGCCAACCTTTAAGACCTTATGGGGAAAATAGGATGAGGGGGCAGAAGTGACGAGTAAACCTATGAAATTCCGTGTAAATGTTTTAAATTTACTCAAATTAACCAATAAAAACAACACACTAAATGAAGAGAATTTAAGGGACATTTAAGACATTTAATTTAAAAAATAACCATAAATAAAATAGCATTTACCTTTGATGATAATGAGGCATTTCAATCACCAATACTCTTGCTCTTCAGCTTAGGGACCATACTTGAAATTTACGTTAATTTATAAGAAACTAGCGGGAAGTACCCGGCATTGCCCGGGTCTTAAAATATTTCATAACTACTCTTAAAAATCTAACAGCAGTGCGTACTGACTGTGGTGATACCTTCTATTATTACAGCAGTGCAAACCGACTGTGGTGGTACCTGCTATGATTACAGCAGTGCATACTGTGGTGGTACCTGCTTTCACTGCAGAAATGCATACTGTGGTCGTACCTGCTATGATTACAGCAGTGCATACCGACTGTGGTGGTACCTGCTATGATTACAGCAGTGCATACCGACTGTGGTGGTACCTGCTATCACTACAGCAGTACATGCTGACTCTATAACAGTATGTATCGACTGTATAGCACAAAGTACTCACCTGACAGAGTCGCGTGGTGAGGCCTAGTCCCATGCAGAGCCTCCGGCCTCGCCTAGATTGTCCAGCCAGCCGAGGTGGTACCTTTACCGGGTAAAAGGGTAAAGGTAAAGGTTTCGACATGCCAAGGGGTAAGGTAAAGGGTAGGGTAAAGGTAGCTCAGAAGAATTACCCGGTAGGGTAAAGGTAGCGAGAATAATTACCCGGTAAATACGGTACCTTGTTTACAGCTAAAAGCTCCGTGGCACAGTCTGTGGAACAGTCCGTGGCCTCCATTTTAAACTGCGATAATTGATGTCGGACCAGATGGAGACGGTCCAAGTCCTTGAGATAGAGGTACTAGAGGACGAGGTCAAGGATGCCAGCACCGACATTTTTGGGGTTGCTGCGAACAGCAATCGAAAGAGGCAGCGGCATGCGTTCCCGTGGGAGCACACGCACGATTGGATGGAGGGTAATCCCCATGTACAGCAAGGGAAGTGGTTTTCCACCCACACGAACGCGTCGAGGTGAAAAGCCCACCTCAAGAAGCACAACGTGCTCGCCCCAGCCAGCGAGTTCGGGACGTCGGCATCGGCTGCCTGAAGGTTCCGTCTAACTGGGCTGGAGCGGCGCAGGATCTTATTGCCTGTCGTTCGTCTGAGGACGATGGCAATGACGAACTCGATCAGGTTGTTGATGAGATCGCCATCAGCCAAGACGACTGGGATGAGGAGGTTATGGAGGACGGTGTCGTCGACAGCCTCAACGCCCGATTCGAGAGTATTCTATATGTATAAAGCGCTCTAATAGCATTTATCGTTATAAACCTTTTTCATGTGTTGTACCCCAGTAATTTCCCTGTAATCGGGTAATTTGTATGGGATAAGGGTAAAAGGTAGGGTAAAGATAGGCTCGTTGCTTTTTACCTTTTACCTCTTACCTTACCTGCTAAAGGGTAAAAGGTAGGGTAGAGCGATTGTATTGTGGTAAGGTAAAAGGTAGGGTAAAGGTAGTCTTGATAATTGTTTTTTTTACCCTTCTATCTGGCAACAAACTGACACCTTTTTTTACAAGGAGTCATGTTTGCATAGACCACAATACCTGCAGCCATAATGCAAACAAAAAACATAACTCTGATAATATATGCACTGTCCTTAAAGTTGATTGGTCCACACCCGAGACAGCTTTTCCTTTACTCAACCGTGATCAGGGGGGGCAAATGTCTGGATGATTGATAAGGATAAGGTCCACCCATGCAATGGATAAATTAACAGCTTAAGCATGTAAAGGCAACTTCACTTCTTTAACATTAATGCAAAATAAAGTGACTCTTACAATACATCTTGTTTGTTTCTATACTCACTATTATTACAATCCACTCAGTTTCTTTTATTAAAGATTCCACTAGGTGGCGACAAATAATATTGTTGGATGAAACGTGCTTACGCATGATGACGTAAGCACGTTAGTGCGAGCCCTCCCGGAAGCCATAGAGAATGCATTGCAGCGCCCGCCGTTCGAAAAAAAACATCTTTGAATGTAAGTCTATGGGAACACTCTGGGCGATTCTCAGCCGGAGTGAAATCGCCCAAAAAGAGGCGGTACTCCACAGAACGTAGCATGACGCTGATTGGACTATATCCAGAGGCACAGTAACGGCTCGCGAAACTCTGTGGTTGAATGACGTTGGTGGTGTGTCGCCCAATCGCCCTAATGAAGAAACCGCCCCTGCTTGGAACGCAGCCTCTTTGGCTAAACTGTTTCAGAGCTTTCAACCGGGGTTACAAGTCTTTTCAATTGTTCAGTCTTATCTTGACGCTTTAGTGCACAAGTCAAGCGTTTTTTGTCTATAAAACGCCGATAGCAGGCCGGGTGAAACCCGTAGTTTGTTGGGACATCAGAGACCGGTTTGTCCAGGAGGGCAACATGTTTATTAGCAATAGCTAGCTCCGTAGTGTCCGACGTTTTAAGCCATTCCTTCGCACATTGCTTGATTTTTTTCCATCGGACTTCAGTAAAGGGCTGCGGACCTTTCCCACCATCTTTTCCGACATGAAGAATACACTTTACGAGTGTTAATCGAGCTTGATCCCCGCTATCAGATGAAGCTGCGCTGCTTACGTCCTCCTCCATGCTTACATGTGTGTAGTGATATTGGCTTGATTTTGGCTCTGACCTACTTACATTTTCGATGCTGATTGGTTGAAAATCTAGCTCAACAGTTTTATATGTCTCAATACGCAGTCAATATAGTGCGCCAATAAATTACACTTTTCTCATTAACTACAGGATAATGCGTGGAGAACTTTTTGCTTGGATACCTTTTATTAACGTTGAACATATTGAGCAAAACAAAAAGTAGTGCCCCGTTTGTCAGAACGAAACTGAACGATACAGCTCACATACAGCAGCCTACTACGCAAAACGCTATAAAATTATAATTTTGCGTATCGCGTCGTTCACGCAAAATCGCATATCACAACGCTGTAAAAGACAACAGAAATAAAATAAGAAAAAATATCACATCCAAACCATGGTCAACTAATTTAAAGGCCTTTTTTAAATGGGACTTAATAATGGAAATGTATTTGACGTATATGGAGCGGGAGTGCATTCCAGCTGCCGACATGAAGGAACGTCGACCCCACCATCTTGCATTTAACTTGAGGCTCTGAATGAGCAGCTCCATACTGGATGAACAAAGTATTCTGAATGGGGTGTCCATTCAAATTGTCTCTGTGTCTATGGGTTTCTGTGCGAGTCTATGGGTCTCTGTGTGCCTCAATGTGTCTCTGTGAGTTTTTGGGTCTCTCTGTGTAAGCATATGGGTTATCTTAGAGTGCAATCTTAAACCCAATTCGTAAACTAATGGGGCTGGTGGAAAGGGGGGGGGGGAGTCAATTAAGGGAATATAAAATGGGGTGATATGTTAATGTTTGTGGGCAAGAGTCAACACTGTTGCATTTTGGACCACCTGCATCTGTTGAAAAATATTATTTGAGAGACCATATAAAACAGACTTGCAGTAATCCAACCTGGAGGATACATCGGCAGCAATGAGTGTTTCAGCAACAAGTAGTTTTAAACAGTTGCAGAGCTTTATTAATTTGAAACCAAATAGCCAACATCATGAAGAGTACAGCAAAGTTGCACGCCCCGTTTGGAAAACACACAGGGGAAAAAGTACAGAAAAACCCGGTTAGGAGGCAGCTTAAAGCACTGATAAAACAATACGCGTTTCCATATTCCCTGAAAGCATATCAGCATTTATGCCATGGACAAAATGTAAACTTCAAAGCATTCAAATACTCCCAAATTTAATTTAAATCAGGCTATACTTTCAGGCTCTTGGTAGTTTACAATCATAATAGCAGTTTTAGCGACTTGTTATACACATCAGAAATACACAGCCTTGTTAATGTATTATTCTTTAGCTTTGTACAAACATTATTAGTATCAGATTCATTGTCTTGAGACCAGGTCTCAAGTTCAGTGTATGAAGACCGGGTTTCAGGATCTGTGTATTAAGACTGGGTTTCAGGATCGGTGTCTTGAGACGGCTAAACTCCTCCATGCTTTGGAATTATATTCAGTGTTAATTGTAGTGCAATCGCATACTAAGGCACTACGTGTTTTATTTTTATTGTGATGTACCATGTGCCGTGCCCTACCCAATCATCACAGACCCGTGCATGCCAGCTACATGCATGCTGCTGCTCACTATATTGCAAATGCAGTCCTCCAAACTCACAGGCAGAGATGCGGGACTCCTAAAGACAACAGTAGTATGAATTCCATTGCGCACACAGACACACGGCATCACACAGCATCTGGTCTTTTGTGTGAGAAGTGAGTAAGTGCACAGGTTTCAACAGATCACTTGTAAATTAGATCCAACCGTCAATAGTAATAAGTACAAATTAAACGATCTATCAGCGGCACCGATTTCACTTGTGTTATGGATCATCAGCATACCAATGTGACCAGTGATGCTAGTCACGAATGTAGCGTTAGAATGGCTGAGAAGCTGTGTGTGGCATGAAGATGGAGAGCTGCATGAGATTACACGGGCCACCAAATACACGTTACAATGCATAAGGTTACCTAAGCTCATGTCAACAGCAAGCATGACGAATGGGTCTCATTATGTTGAATAAATCCCGGATGTTCACCATCCAGCAATAAAACTATAATAAAAATGGTTTGTAAAAAGAAATGTGAAGTGGTTTCCTCCCATAATTGAGGGGAAAAAATAGTTCAGCTTCAGTAACTTTACAGCATATTTATTTATGTATTTGTTTTCACTTGGTTTACCAAGAAAAGCATCACCAAGTCTCGTGACTCAAGTTTGCGCAGCAGGTGGCGATAATTGTCATGTATAATTCCAATTGAGTAAATTTCAGGTTATTTTTAAGATGTGCAAATTTTGACCGTGATGTCGCCACAAAATGGCTTGCTCTTGCGAATGACGTCACGAAATCTTGAACATTCACTCTCAAGCAGATGGCACGTGGTATTATTATGGTTATTACAGCGCAGTGATAAACCAGGGTGGCTGCTGTATTCGAACCACGAACCTCTGCAACAAGTGGTGAATCTGTTACGGCTGGGCCATATCTCTGCACCCATCAATCCATCCAGTTTCAGTTATCCCACATGTTGATGTTGTATCAATTCAGTTCACCGTTGAGTGAGGCTCGCAATCGGAAGGAAGGTTGTGAGTTCAAATCCTGGTTGCCGGCTGACTCAGCCCATCATCCATCCCTGCGGAGTGGATTAAATTATTTGTACTTTGTCGTCCTTGACTACTATACAAACAACGACTTTCCACCACTGGCTCAGTGCTGTAAACAGATGAGTATCATATTGTTTGGTTCTTTCGGTAAAGTCACGTAGGTAGAAAAATAATAGATCACGACGTTTCGATCGCAACACAAGCAATCATCATCAGGTGGGACAACCACAGCAAGAAAAAACTGCTGTTGTCCCACCTGATGACGATTGCTTGTGTTGCGATCGAAACATCGTGATCTATTAATTTTCTACCTACGTGACTTTACCGAAAGAACCAAAGAATATGGATTCCTGCAGTCACGAAAGATCCAAATAAAAATGAGTACTAGTACATCAAATGCTAATTTGAGTAGAAACTCGCTTCGACTTGTTGACTATTTTAAGTGTGCTGGCAAGATCTCGTGACAGATAAGAACAGGATCTGATGACTGGGGCGGTGTTATTCCCAGATAGTTTTGCTCCACTGAGCAGGGAATGTGGCATAAACCAAACTCTAAACTGTAATCGTGGTTGGCAATTACCTCTTTTCTTTGGATGACTCCACGGGATATTTAACAGTTACAACTTTTTTGACAAAACGGCATTGAATATCGCATGGCAAAATCGTTAGCAATAAACACAACTTTTTTTTTACAATTTTTACTGAAAAACAGTGGTGGCATAACGGTTCACACCCTGGACTTGCATTGCAGAGGTCACCGGTTATACTTCTACCTCCCGACATGGCAGTTACAAGTAAGTTAAACACAAACAGTCGATTGGCAGGTTGAGTGTAGTGGGGTAAAGTATGGGTATGCCTACCTCTTCGAGGATAGTGGAAGAAGAGATCGAGATCATGAAAAAAGAATTAGCTTTACCCTTTGTGGCAATAATACAGGAGGTTTTAAGATGACCAAACACCACAGACACCTATTGCAATGCATCAAGTCGAAATTAACTACACATTCTTGTGGTAAAACATGCAAACAAACATATTTTGATGATCATGCATGCATTGTCCTTGAAACGGATTGGCTTACACCAGTGACAGCTTCCTTTATAGCCTTGTCTCATTGGTGTTACACCAGAGGACAATGCCAAAAGGCCAACAGCTCAAAAACATATGTATATGTAGAACTTCTTTCGCAGCATACATAGCAAACCAAGCGAATTGGAGATGTGGGAAAAGACTGCAAATATCAAAGCATTAACCATTCGGGTGGAGCAGTTATATCTATGGGAAACCTTTGTGCCGGTATCAAGATGATGAAAAAATGTGTGGCTAATGCAGACTTGATGCCTTGTGATCATAGGTGTCTATTTGGTGTTTGGACATCTTAACACCTCCTGTATTCTTGCTGGAAAGGGTAAAGCCTTTTATTTGTTTAATCATCTTCATCCTAACAAAAAGGATCCCATAGATAGCAGACCAAGAGTGGCAAGTGCCATGCAGTTCCTATGTAGGTTGAACTTCTTTTGCAACTGTGCCAAGCGGAGGTGTGGGGGAAGGACAACAAACTAAACACTAAAAGCAGTTCTAAAGAAATTCATTTTCAATCTAGATTTAAAAGTGCATAGGTCCAGTGGCATCCTAATATCGGAAAGAAGATCGTTCCAGATGGCTGTACATTCAGGCAGGAGAATTGGTCCATTCATTCATCACTAACGCTCTACTGGAAACGATTTCCGCCTCCTGACTTTTGGAACCGGTAATCATTCTGATCACAGTTCCAAGACCGCCAGTTATCATATAACAACAAATTCACACTTTCCTCACACTGCTGGTGATTGCGTCGAGTTGCCAACGGAGGGCATCACCGCATCGTCAACCGGAGGTGGGTCTGCCGGGCACGTCGCTGGGAGGGAGTTCCCTTGCTGGTGCTGGGTTGTCCATAGGCCAGGCTAAATCCGCTTGCTCCTGTATTGCACCAGCAGCGGCTCTAAGGGCAAACACACAGAACGGTCTACATTAATGGTCAAACATTATTTATCATTCTGCTTGTTTACCAAGGAAGGCCTAAAATCATTTTCAGGAGGGTGCTATTGTAATAAAGGAATCCTTCACACGATGTTGGTCTCCGTTGGTCCTTTATTGATGTTCTTCTCCTCCTCGCCCCGCTGGCCTCCTCCTCGGCCCAGCGTCATCTCTCCTTGTGCCCCGCGCACTCTGCAGCTACCCTGCTGCCTGTGCAACCTCGCACCCTCTGCTAGCCCTCCGCTAGCCCTGCAGCTACTCTGCTGCCTGTGCAACCTCGCACCCTCTGCTAGCCCTCCGCTAGCCCTGCAGCTACTCTGCTGCCTGTGCAACCTCGCACCCTCTGCTAGCCCTCCGCTAGCCCCGTGCAACCCGCACGGTCCCGCTAGCCACTCTGCTAGCCTCGTGCAACCTCGCACGCCCTGTGCGCCCCATGCACTCCGCTCTCTCCGCACCCCGCTGGCTGGCGCCGTCTGGCGAGCCCCATCAGCCTCGCGGCTGAGGGCACGGCAGCCACCAAACGTGGTCTCCCTCTTCCCTCCCTCGACTGCTCCAGATGTCTTCCGGTCTCCTTCCTATAACCTCTCTCCCACGTGACCCTGACTCCTCCCTCTCCCACGTGACCCTGACTCCTCCCTCTCGGATCGTCACATCCGGCCTGCCCATTTACGCTCGCATTACACTATCAAGAATCTGCAATACGGTAGTTTGAACACAATCAAGTAATTTTCAGGGTTTTTTTTGCATCCAGATATTTGGCCAACACCAATTACAGTAAGTCCTCACTTATCACATGGTGTTCACACAACGCATTTTCACTATAACACGGTTATTTAATTAGGGAACACTTGTTGCACAATGCAGAACAAACACCGTTATAATGCGGAATGCGCACCGTTATAACGCGGTTTCTGAGCGGTCGACAATGAACTACTTTCATGAGCTGCACGGCCGAGCGGTATAATGATACAATATGTAGAATGATATGGTAACCTCAGTGGCATACCCTCAGTTATTTGTCGTGCCATCTCACTGCACGCACATCGGATCTCGCCAAACTTTATCGTGACTACATTATTTATTGGAAAATAGTTTTCACTGAACGGGGTTTTTTGCTTAACGTCAAACTTCTCAGAAACACATCTCCCGCGTTAAACGGGAGGGAAACTAGGCATACAGAAGCTAATTTAGAAAACAGAAAGCAAGAGAGAGTAAATGCAGCATTGTAGAAAATATTATTAACAATCTGTCTCTCCACAAACAAGTGTTTTTTTTACACATCTCATCAGTTCCACAGTGTAAAGGTCGCAGCCCTCTCCATGTACGGAGTTCCCAGAGGCAGATAGCAACAGCCATCACCAATTGACCATATCGTGCTAGTCGCCAGTTGCATCTCTGTTACACTGCTGCCGCTGGGATGACTACAATTCCTTAACTCCTTGAGGTGGCGGTTATCCAAAATGACGATATGGCGCACACATTCAGTTCTCTTGAACCGGTGGTCTGTGTAACCGCACAAACCTATGTGTGCTGTCAAAAACCTATGTGTGCAATCAAATGTTATCGTGTTATGATAATAATAAACATGGTTTTCTAAAAAAAGCACCATTCACACGAAGCTTCAAGGCACTGTGCATGAAGCTTAAAAGTTATGGAGAAAGCTTGTAAAAATATGCAATTTAAAAAGTGTAACGGACTCAGATTCCCAAATTGACTGAGGAAGAAGGGAATTCCATGATCGCGGAGCCTGGCTGCAAAATCCTTTGTCTCCCACAAAACTAAATCTGGTCTTCATGGAATTATCATTAGTTTACACAAGAATCGGCAGATCTAAGTATTCACAGTGGAACATAAAAATTAAGCAGGTCAGTGGTGAGATATTTAGGAGCCAACTCATTCAAGGCCTTAAACATGAGGTGAAGACGAATCTTAAAGTGGACTCTTTACTTTACAGACAGAACAAGTGCAGGGAGGAAATAATCGGAGTGACCTAGTCACGTGATTTGGATATGGGTTAAAACGTGGGTTTTGAATATATTTTCGTCTATCAAAAACACTTTTAGAAACGCCAGCAAGCAAGGCATTGCCGTCGTCAAACCTTAATGCAATGAAGGCATGCACCAGCCTCTCGGCATCAGGCAGGAGGGACAGCATGGGTCTCAGTCGAACTGTGTTTGTGTAAACTAAAAGACGATTTGTGGGAGACCAGCAACCTGCGTAGTGCTGGCCCAGCCTCAACTGGATGTCATCCAGCTTGCTGATGTAGTCCAGCAGGGCCTTGTCGGGGTCGCCATGGTCGCCAGCGCACAGAGCGCATGTGCAGGCATGCCCGTGCCCACGCCGCCGGCCTTGGCGGCGTCCATCGCCGTCTAAAGACACACATGATGACACCCTGGAGGGAGGGGGAGGGGTCGTGGGGGGTGTCTCACGCTCAACCGTAATGTACGCCGCCGTCATTGTCACGATTGATTACCATCTCATGTCATTACACAGGAGAGCTTCAAGACTCCCCTTTGGCAGGAGGGTCCTGCCAAGTTTTTGTCATAGAGGAGGGGAGCGATGTTGTTGCTTCTACTGTGTGTAATGCTAATTGAGTACGAAGAGTCCTCGCTTAATGTGCGGGGTTCACACCGCGACTCGTTTTCACTAACGCGGTTCTTCCATTCGGGAAACACTTTTCGCACAACCTGGAAAGTGCCCATTATAACGTGGAATGCGTCCTGTTATAACGCAGGACACACACTGTTATAACACAGTTTCTGAGCGGTTGACGACAAACTATTTTCTTGAACTACATGGCTGAGTGGAGTGATACAGTACAAGGAATGATACAGTAACGTGGCAACGTACCCTGAGTTATCAGTCCCACCATCTAACTGATTATGCGTACATCGTATCTCGCCAAACTTTATTTGTAGATTATTTACGGTAAAATTGTTTTTACTACGCGGTTTTCACTTAATGCGGTACTTTTCAGGAACACATCTACCACGTTAAACAAGGAATTAATGTAATTTGCAGATCAGTTTTCAGCATTGCGATGTTTGGCCAACACCAGTTCGAATGTTTGTTTGTAGCGACTGAAAATTATTTTTTTTGGAATATAGCCACCCTCTTTTATACCTGGCCATCTCAGAGGACTTTACATGCGATATGCGACTTACACCGGTACCGGTCCGTGGCCTGTTAGGAACCGGGCCGCACAGCAGGAGGTGAGCTGTGAGTCCGCGCGTGGCCCGCCCATTATTTTATATACCACTTCCGTCCGCGCCTCTTTCCCGCACTGCGCAACTTGTCTCATTGTCTCAGTCACAGTTTAGGTAAGCCCACAAGCTCACCCTGGCCAAAATTAGTAAAAAACAAACGTTGCTGGAGAGCTTCTTTGAAAAGGGGGAAAGACCCAATGATGAACCCCCCCCTCCCCCCCCCCGGTCCGTGAAAAATTTGTCTTCTATGAAACCGGTCCCTGGTGCCAAAAAGGTTGGGGACCGCCGACTTACACCGCATCTCTAACATTTTAACGGGCACTCCCAGGAATAGCCGTCCTTGTGATGTATAAGGTGACTCAGCACCTGGCCTGCAAACGGGAGTTAGTCTGCCAGTAGGGAGGAGCGATGATTGCTCTGTGTGTTCCAAATTGAGTAATGTTGGAAGCTAGCACTGCAAATTAACATTTTCTCAATTTGAGGGCAAATAAACTTTAAAAGGGTGCCATGTCTGTGCATATTTATCCCTGTCTGTTAATCTGTGTCCCTGCGTTACACTGCATGCATTACCATTGGAACAGATAAGAGTTAATGAGTTTCTTGAATTGAGCAAGGTTATTGTGAGAGCTTGGAGAAAGAGGCGATGGGAAGGAGGGGATTCCGAAGTCGAGCGGTGCGAGTGAAGAAGCAGAAAGAAAAATGGTGTGACCTTCAGTGTTGTTAGGGGGTGAGTGGCTCTTGATTAAGTGAGTAGTTCACTGGGTGAGTTGGTGTGAGGAGGGTGAGTGAATGAGCAAGTGTGTTGTATCCTGTAGTGTGGTGAGTGGGTGAGGGGTGAGTGGCTTTTGAGTGATTGAGTGGTTGACCGGGTTCGTCGGTGATTGAGTGAATGAGTGTGTTGTTGTAACCTGTAGCATTGTGAGTGGGTGAGTGAGTGTGTGTGTGTTATTGTGACCTGCAGTGTGGCAATTGAACACAGTGTGTGTGTGGACAACAGGAAATGGTGAGTCTGGTGGACCAAGTCCTCAACGTGGGTGGAAGAATCCAAGAGTGAAGTTCACGGAAAACGCCAACCAGTGACACAGACACACGTACAAGAGCATCCATCACTGTGGCACCTGGATAAGTGGCGAGCACTCCCATGCAGACAGCAGCCATCACAGTCCATGTATGGAGAGGGGATCAAGGCTTGGTGCTCCTGCTGGGCCCCTGAAGGGAGACCGAGAGACACTTTGAACCGCACTGCTGCACACACGGCACTTCAGTACTCCATTGCTATTGTTATCATTCCGCTTGTTCACCCAGAAAAGACTCACCGAGTACTCTTTTTCAGGAAGGTACTGCCAGGCTTTTGAAGTCGGGAGCAATGTTGATTTGTATGGAATGACCCTGGGGCACTCTTGCAAATGAGACTCTAACTTGATCTCTTGAGTTCCACTCACCCTGGTTACACCAAATCAACTTGACACTTCGATCTCTGCTGCATTTACAAATCAATCCCAACTCTTCCTATTACATGAATGATATTTTATTTGGCGTTTTACCCAGAAATGCTACACTGGAGTCTCAAGACTCCTTTTCACATTAGGGGAGCGATGTTGCTGCTGTATGTGTTCCCAACTTAGTAATATTCAGGTAATGTTTCAGCATTGGGATGTTTGGTCAATACAGTTTTTTGTTTGTTATCGGAGGAAACCGGAGAACCTGGAGGAAACCCATGCAGAGTAGGAGGAGAAAACGCCTCGCAGAAAGGTGCCCCCATCAGGAATTGAATACAGACATTTCTTGCTGTGAGCCACAAGGGTTACTGCTGCACCACCACCTTGCCACCCGCTATATCAATAATCAAGAGACTCTCACCATGTTACATTCCAATAGCACGAGACTATCACGAAGGCGTTGTTTTCACAGCACCTTGCTTCGTGATAGCCTTGTGCTTTACGAATGACGAGAACACCAAATGCACTAAATTATTATTATTATCTCGGCGATCCTTTTTTCCGGTATCAAAATTATAAAAAAAAGAATAGGCTTTACCCTTTCCAGCAATAATACAGGAGGTATATTATTGGTTCTTTAGGTAAAGTCACGTATCAAAATTATAAAAAAAGAATAGGCTTTACCCTTTCCAGAAATAATACAGGAGGTATATTATTGGTTCTTTCGGTAAAGTCACGTAGAAGGGAAACAATAAAATAATAAAAATATAAAAAATAAAATTCTAACGACGTTTCGACTGCAACACAAGCAATCGTCATCAGGTGTGAAATCCACAGCAAGAAATTTTGTTTTCAAATTTTCTTGCTGTGGATTTCACACCTGATGATGATTGCTTGTGTTGCAGTCGAAACGTCGTGATAATTGTATTGTTTTATATTTTTATTATTTTATTGTTTCCCTTCTACGTGACTTTACCGAAAGAACCAATCATATGAATCCGTGCGGTCACGAAAGCTTTAAATCAAAATTTAATACAGGTGTTAAGATATTCAAATACCAAATAGACGTATATCACAAGAAAGTCTGCATTAACCACACATGCTTGTGGTAAAACATGCTAACACACATGCTCTGAATATATGCATTCTCTTTGAAACTGATTGGCCTACACCAGATACAGTCCTGTGGGCCCACCATCCGCAGGACAAATGGTGAGGGGCGGGTGCGATGCCAGTATGGCAGGGAGACAGACTGGACCTTAGCAATGGATACTGGCTATTGGGACGTGGAATGTCACGTCACTGGGAGGAAGGAGCCAGAGCTGGTGGAAGAGGTGGAAAGGTATCAACTAGATATAGTCGGTCTCACCTCCACACACAGCATTGGCACTGGAACCAAACTTCTCGATCAGGGGTGGTCTCTCCTATTCCGAAGTAACCCCTTTGAGAGACCCCGGGTGAGTGTAGGAATATTCACAAGCTCCTGGCTGGGTGCTGTTCAGTTGGAATTTGTTCGAGTTGTAATGCGAGCAAGGATTGAGGGGGGCGGAGTCTGGGTCACGTGAGGAGAGGGAGGAGTTAGGGTCACGTGGGGGAGAGGATTTAGGGAGAGAACCGGAAGGGGGAGTTGAGACGGAGTGAAACGGGAAGAGGCCACGCTGGGCAGTACGGGGAGGGTGGCGCGATCGCCACGTGTTGGGAGACCTCGGCACCGTCGGCCATCGGTGTCAGGGCACAGAGGGCTAGCGGGCTGTGGAAGGCTAGCTGCAGAGCGGAGCAGCAGGGTGGCTGCAGATCAGAGCAGCAGTGTGGCTGCAGGGCGGAGCAGCAGTGAGGCTGCAGAACGGAGCCGCAGGGTGGCTGTGGAGTGATCGACGGAGGAGACGCGGGCCTGAGCGAGGACGCCGTGGGAGCGAGATTTACACGAACCCAAATAAAGAACAACGGAGATCGACACTGAGAAAGAGTCCTTTATTACACTGGTGTCAGAAGTGAAATGGCATGTCAAAACAGCTCAGAAGAAAGAACGTCCCTGCACCATCTTCTGCAGCATCTTCTGAAGACGACCTCCCTCCAGCGGTGGCGCTACCGACGATGGAGGGGGGAAGCGACGCAGGGACGGGCGACGGTCCAGGGGTGCAGGAAGTTACCGCTTCGGTGGGTCCATCCACGCAAGTGGACGCTGATGAAGGATGGCGACAGGTGGTGGCCCAACTGGAGGCACTGAAGGCGGTGTTGACGCAGTTGTGCGACCTCGTGACGACCGCGACGACTTCGGGAAGGCTGAGCGGGGAACAGCGGGCCGGGGCCTTGCCGACGCCGTCAGCCATCTCCACCACGCGGCACGAAGCCGCCATCTTGGGCGTGGCCGAGGAGGAACGGCGGGAAGCCGCCATCTTACGCCCTCCACCGCGGGGAGCCGCCATTTTGGACACGTTGCGGAGTGACGCCATCTTGTCGTTGCCACACGAGTCACCATCGACGGAGGACGGCGGAGCAAGGACCCGCAGCCATCATTTAACAACTGTTAAAGAGTTCTCCATCGGCGGCGATTGGAGCGTGTTCGCCTGCCGGTTTCAAGCGGCTGTACGATCCGCCAAATGGACGGACGCGGAGGCCCTGGAAGTCTTACCAACACTTCTCGACGACGAGTCCGTCAGGTTCTTCCGCTCCATCAAGGCCGAAAAGAAGAGGACGCTACAGGGGGTCTTTGAGGAAATGGCGGACGCGTATGAAGCCTCCGGACGATGCTCATCGTAGATTCGTACAGCGGCAACGGGCGCCTGAAGAATCGCCGGTGGCATTCGGAGGCGCCGTTCTGGAACTGGCTATGGTCGCATATCCCGAGACAAAGCCTGATTTGTTGGAACCCCTCGTATTGGGCAAGATGCTGGAATTATCTAGAGACGTGGGGATCCCCATGCCGGTGTGCGGCCATAATAAGTTGACGTCCCGTGCTGCAGCTAAGTGCTTGGATGCCCAATTTAATCTTCGACGCTGGAAACAGGTGTCAGCTTGGACGGGGGGCCCCATCGTCGAAGGCGGTGCTACAGGGTGGGATCCTAAGAAGGCGGTCTACGTTCCTGACGACAAGGATCTGCAGGAGTTGACGGCCGCCTCCGCCCAGTGGCCTGCTCGAGGGGGAGCGGGGCTGGGGTCCGGGCCGCCGACGCGGAAGCGTCGGGACAGAGGGGGTGCCGCGCGCCGAAACGACGTGGAGTGTTTCCGCTGCGGCCGTAAGGGCCACTTCGCCAGGGATTGTTGGGCTCGCATCCCGGGGCCGCCCCAGCAGGAGGCCTCGGCCACGGACGTGACGCGAAAGGACCATCCAGGACAGGCAAGTCGGTGCGCATCAGACACTCGGCAAGGCCTGTCACCTCATGCATCACCATCGCCGCGCGGTCCGTGTGTCGTTAACAACGGGGGGCCACCGATTGACCCGTGTCACTCGCTGACGCAGTGGCGGAGATTGGCACGGAGGGTAGTTGTGCGGCCACTACTGGGTCGTCCACTGTGCCTGGTTCTATTCAGGGGGTCGAGGTGCGTATTTTGGTGGACTCCAGTGCGTCCGCGACCATTATCTCAGACGTCATTTTCCATCTCTTGGGCATTCCGCTGGGGAGAGTGCGACCGGTTTATGACTCTTGCATAGCGGCGAACGGGGGAAGTATGGGCATTGTGGGCCGGGTGGACGTCAACATATCGATTGGGGGGGTGTCGGCTTCAGGGACCGTTTTGATTTCCAGGTCCCTCGTGGTGCCCTGTTTGTTGGGGACCGATTTCCTGGCAAAAATGCCCATTCAAATAAGGGTTAATCAAAATTGCATTGAATTACTGGGGGGTCTGAAAATTTCGTTCTTGCCGTCGCCCTGGGGCCACTCTGCCCCTGTCTGCCAGGTGCAGGTGTAGTGACATAAGAAGGGAGGGGCTGCTGTAGGCTCTGGGTTCCCAGGTGGGTCCAGACGCGTAAGCCTCTGGGCGCCAGGCACTGGGTTCCCAGGGGGTCCAGACGCTTTTAAGCCTTTGGGCGCCAGGCGTTGGGTTCCCAGGCGCTTAAGCCTTTTTGGCCCTGCCAACGGGGGGGGGGGGCTGTGTGTGCTCTGTGGGATGTCTGGTGGCGCACACGGCCCCACCCCTCGTCGGACCAGGCATAAAAGGAGAGCTCCCTGGACGATCGGGGCCCAGTTGTAACTCAAGACCCAAGACCCACGACCAGCCATCTGAAGACCCTGGGATGCTGTGAGAGCCAGTGGTGGGACTCTGGAACTCCCGACGCTACGACCTTGTGAGGGCGAGTCCAGAGCGTAGCCAGAGTAGAGTATCTAGGCTGTGTAGCTAGGCTGTGTACCTAGGCTGTAACAGAGTATCAGGACTGTTGGAGTGTTGTATTGTAATAAAGAAGTTACATCTACAAGTGTCTCCGGAACCCGTTACACAGGCGCTGTCCGAGGTATCTGTTGACATTCCACCTGGTTCGCAGATGCTTATTCCGTTGAGATATCGGAAACCAGTGCCTGGCGTTGAGGGAGCGGCGGGGGTTTTGTTATCACCGTCCACGGCTATAACGGGCGGCTCGGCGCTAGTTGGGGCACAAACGATTGTCCGGCCGGGCCAGCCTCCGTTTTTACAAGTGCTGAATGGGAGTGCGGAGAATGTTAACGTACCGGCCGGAATGGTTTTGGCTCACGCCACGACTGCGTTCACGGCCCATGACGACCGGGGCCGCCGGGACATGGTAGGGGGGGTTTCAGGCCCCACGGGGCAGGATGA